CGCTTACATTGGCCGCAACGATGGTGTCCTTGTCTGACGCCTCCACAGCCACGGGCCATCTGGGACCATAGTCTCTTGCGATATTGCGGATTTTGCCATTGAAAATCTCCAACAGCGAGACTGAGTTGAGTTGATCACCTACAATGATGCGGTCGCCGTATGTTGCAAGACTCGCAACCAGGTAGTTGTGGTTCCACTCTGAGAGTAGCTCCAGAGAAAAGATACCTTCCGAGCTCTTTATCTTGAACATCATGACCTACGGAAAAGCTCAGCAAGGACGGGTGTGAAGCTGGAGTAAAGCCTACCGAGGAATTGACAGCGGCTACAACGACATCTGTGATGAAGGACATGGCATAGACACATCCTTTGACGTCTGCTTCGGCAACAAGGGACATCTGCAAGCTTGAAGTCTTTGACTGCTCGATTGAGCTAGCAGAAAGGATAAGCAGTCTTCCCTCCGTCGGCTCTACATCGCCTGAGTCCACATGTACGCCGATACAGAATAGTGGGGTGGATCTTCCATCGATCACAGGGGCAAATGTTGCCACAGCCCCAAGCCGTTCATAATTCGCTTTGCAGTGGAAGTTGGCGAGAGCTATATCCTCTTAGTTCAGATAATGAACTCTCAAGAAATTCCTTACGAGTGAATGTTATGTGGTCAAACAGTTTGAACGAGTATTGAGTGTGATGAGATCCGCCTATCCTGTAGGGCTCGGTACGGGCTATACCGACTCCAAAGACTTTGAGACTGGGCTCGTATACAATTCCTACTGGATTGTCCAGTCCTAAAGGAATCTTTTAATGGAGAGGTTAAAACGATGCTACGATAGAGTTGAAAAGACTTACAGATCGAATATGCATCTTATCAAGTTCTTGCACTCGACCAATGAAGAGTGTAGTAGGAGTAGCGAGGACAAGTGATGACTTGAACGACGCTGTATTTAGAGCGGTGGCGGTAACAACATCCTAAGATCCTTGAGGATGTGTGAGGACGTGTATAAATACATGTAACTCACCCTCAACATGATTGGCGAATTATGGAGTCGCTTTTTCTCCCAAGAAAATACCGTGGCTCTGTTGCCAGCCGCGAAGACAGTGCGCTTGCCGTCGATCTGGTACTCAGCGAGGGAAACCGGCGCGTGCCCAAGAGGGATGATCTTTTTGTCACCGAGTTGCTTATCCTTCATATTCCAAGAAAAGTAAGCAACAGTGCCATCCGCTAACCCTGCGAGAAGATAATAGTGGTTCTCTTCGCCTTCTAATTGAAAGTCGTAGAGTAGCACCGAGCGAGCAAAGGCGGGAAGCGGTGGCGTCGTTGCGGCCGGGACAAGACCCTGCGGGTTAAATGTGAATATTTGAACCGTCTTCTGGTTCCAGTATGAAACCACGAGATGATTAGAGAATTGCTTTGCCGGGTCCAATGGTGCACAGGAAATCGCGCTTATCTCTGGCCCTACTGCGTTGTTACTGTGAAGGTCGGTCAGAACGGGGGAAGTGAAATGAGAATAACAAAGCTTACATTGATAGTCTAAAGCCTCTGTCTTCGATTACCAAACCTGCAAGCCTCCCTCCTTTGAACGCCAAGAAAACCTGACTGGCATTGACATCAGCTACCACTACCTCACAACCAGTCTGTTCCCATTCGCCAATTGTGTGATATGTCATGGACACATTGTCATATTCGAGTAGACGGGCTCCCCTCTTCGTGACCTGCACCACAAGCTGCGAGTGCTGATGAGTGCGTTGTCCATGATTGACGCGACGGGGAACGTTTCCCAATGCAAGAGTGGGGACATCAGTGACGAGACCGGAATTCTCGGCGAGACCTGTATCTTTGATATAGGTTAAAGTTGTATCACCACCTGCATCATTGATTCGAAACAGCTGAGTGGCTTGCAAGGTCGAAATAAGTATGTGGCTGTCGTGGCTAAAAGAAGGGTGAGATAAGACCGATCGATGAGGAATGTAAACGACATACATTCCATCCACGTCGTCTCGAATACTCCACACATTCACAATATCTGTCAAACCTGGAACGGAGGCTAGTTCTAGAAAACCGGCTCCATTCCTTACAATATTCAGACTGCCTCTGTTCCCACCTCCAGAGCAGGTCACCACTTGTCGCTGTCAAGAACATAAATTTAATTCAATGTCAAGGAGGATACTCTTACTTCGCCGCTCCCATCAGTGTCCACAAGAATGGCATCAACGATAGGCGCAATGTTTTTGAAGTTTTCCAGCACATTGATGAAAGACCCTTTTGTTTGAACCACTGTCCCCTTTGTAGGATCTCTGGGTAAGCTGTCCTCATCAGTCTCTCGGGCTTTGCCTTTACTCGTGGAAGGGCCACTAAGCGTGGCTGCTGAAATGGTTTTAATTTCTGGCGGTATCTCGACGGTGACTTTGTCTGAAGAAGAGGTAGCGGTGGGTGAAAGCTGCAACAACTGCGAATCGCCGAAGTGGGATCCTAGATAGATCGTTTGTGATGTGAGATACGTCAAAGAGCTTGCCGGCGATGTCTGTTCAGGCAATGGTTAACACAAGTTGACAAAAGTGATACAAACAATACCTCTCCTAAGGGAACTAGAATTAAACCCTTCTCCTTCACGCTCTCGAGTGATAGTAAGGAAAGCCGCCCGAAACTGTCACCGATAAGGAAACGCGGGACCAGTGGATCAACAGCACAGACACTGAGAAACGATGAGTAGGGTTAGAAACGAGAAAATATTCTCTCAACGCACGCAGTGACTTCACTCCATGGCCAGTCCACGCTCCCCTCGACTTTCCTTGGTTTCACCTCCCTCTCCTTCTCCTTAGCTCGCGCCACCTCGACTTGTTCAGCATCCGCGTCCCTCTTTTTCTCCAGCCTCCTTTTTTTCCTTGTTTGCTTTTCCTGTCCTAACGTGCTGGCTAGCTCGTACATCATTATCTTCCGCCCGCCGATGATGAGTACTCCACCGCGATACTCTTCTACACCTTCATCCTCAAGTTGTGGAGGGACTGAGATCAGCCTTAAAGAAAAGTCCAAGGGATGGGGTAAGATCTTGTCCAGAACAGTTGTAGGATTTAAGGCTAGTGAAGGGGAGCTCGATAGTTCCAAATCCCCGAGTGAGATATCGCGAGCAAGGAGTTGCACGTGTTCCTGGTAATCGACGTGCAGAATCGCAAGGGCGTAGCCATCGTCAGATAAAGGTAGAAAGTCCAATCCGAGGAGGTTGAGCTCTCGTAGCCTATTTTAAAAATAGTCAAGATCAAGTAGGCAAAAGCAGAGGGACAGGGAACGCACACAACATCAAAGTCTTCATCGTAATTACCTGCTTTCAGCTTTACTACCCTGAGCTTCCCCGTGTAGCAGCTTACTACGGCAACTTTTCCCGAGGGATGTACCACGACATCGGTAAAGAACTCAGCGGGTCGAGGTGTACGTTCGTAGAGCGAGAGTTCCTTCTTCACCGATAGCTGACTCCCAGATGATGGGTTATCCGTGTAGGAAAGAAAGATAAGCTCGGGATCGGGATGACTTAAGAGAACTAGGAGGTTCGATCTAGAGGAGCCCTACAGAATCAGCATTCGCTTGGTCAATAACGATCGAGTTCGCGAAGAGGACAAGACGTACATGTATCGGGACACTTTTAAGAGAGGTCACGATGCCTCTGAGCTCTAATCCACATTTATATTCAAGGCCATGAGGCTTCAGGGAGTATACATCGATTCTGTTTGATTTCGCGACGACCAGATGCTCGACGTCTCTGGATGAGAGTTGGCACTTTACCGAGGCCAAGACAGAGGAGGACTGGTGAAACGTAGTGACAATCTTCATCTTAGCACAGATTTATACACAAAACTGGGGGGGTCGAAAGAGCTCGTCAATGAGCGTGCTCGTCGCGGCCGACGGTGAGCAAGGCTGACCAAGGGTACATCACCGACATCCGACTATCATGTGACTCAAACGCGTCGCGTCGTTGTGACTGTCTGTCGAGTTATACGGGTAATTCGCACACATAAAGTGCCTCGGCTACCTGTATAGAGGCCACCGCTTACCATTTACTGCGTTTAATTAGGGCTTTCATCCCAAGATAGAGCATTTCTGGACCAGATCTCATTCAAAGTCACCCTCTAAGCCTCCACCACCCATTGTACCGTCCTCATTCATAACAATATCCGCTTGTTCTGCGGAGTCTCCGTCTTCAGCCCGATTGGAATTGACTACAAAGTGGTCCATAGTTGGTTGTCTCTCTACAGCGGCCGCGCCTGCCCCTCGTGGTTTGCGCTTGCCGGGTGGATCGGCAGACATCCATGGTATAATTTCTGTTTTCACCGAGTGAGAGACAGTATTAAATATACAAAGACACTCACCCTCAAGAAACAGAAACTCATCTGCCCTCCGAACGACTGTTGCTGAAGAAGACAAACATCATCAATATCCAATCCACTCACAAATTAAATGGGATCCGCACACACCAATATCCTTATGTTGAACCGTTGCTCTTCTTTCCCTCTCCGCCACCATTTTACCAGCTTCCACAAGACGTTTGATGAATTCCTCCGTCGCAAGGGAGATTAAGAAGGTCGCGTCCTTTGCCACTATGGGAATATCCTGCCAGCCTGATCATGAGCAAGTAAAGACGATACACGGGCTCATGACTAGACCTTGTCTGCTTTGATAATTTTCTGCACTCTGGAAATTGGCAAGAGAGATTTCCCAGTCTCCCGCACCGATGCAACGGGCTCTCTCCGTACGTATGTTCTCTTTTTCTTTTCTTGCTGTGGTGCATCCTCAACCTCGGCCTGTGCCACGTTCTCGACTCCGATGTCCTGTGTTTCGTTCTCTTGCGTCTCTACGTCCATTTCCTGAGCGTCTGCTGTCGACATGTTGTGCTGAAGTCAGGGAGTCACGTTAGTCACACTGTGACTGCACGCGTCGTATAATTCACGCGGGGGAAAAGAAAAAGCTTTCAAGGTCGCGGTATGTACGTTGACGCAATCAAAATAACGGAATATGCATTGGCCGGGAGTCGAACCCGGAGCTAGGCCAATCACCTTCAAGTTTAGTCAGGACTGTCAACCAACTTTCTTTCATGGGAAGACCCAATGTTGAACCGTTACACTACCAATGCTCTGGTTTGGACTGACAAAGATGTCCATTTACGTCGGGGACGACATCGAGTAGCTTGATGTCATTGGGACAATTACATTTGCTTCAGAGAGAAATTTCAACTGACCCGAGGCCACAGAACGACTTTGTAATTGGAAGACAATTCACAAGTGTGCCCGAATAGCCTTGCTCAACACTCCCGCTTCATCTTCGTCAAGTTCTTCTCGAGATTCGAACTCCATACGATGCATTTCCATCGTCGTCGGCGGTGGTTTCGACGACGATACCTTGTGTACTTTGGCTGGTCCTGAAGATGATCCAAAACGTGGCGCTGGTATAATATGATAGTGTACCTAGAAATGCGGTTGTGTTTAGCTGCATCGAGCTGAACGGGGGTTTGAGAGAAGGACTCACATGAGGTACCGCTTGCGCATACTCCTGGTTACACACGACGTTTAGCGCGGTGTTATCTACCGCTATGGGCAGTGACATGTTATGAGCACTCGTTACGTGGTTCTATTTGAGAACGCACCATGTGTCAAGGCATGGGCGACTCTAGAGACGGCTTTCCCAGTTGCAGCTGCATATTCAGGAGGCAACTCAGATAATCTGGCGCAATGGACCTTGGGTATAACGAGTGTATGTCCTCTCCTGAGCGGAAGAATGTCTGTATTCATGTTCAAGCGCATGTAAATACAGAACGTGGAGCTGTCGGTGGGGTCAGTCACCTAGTATGGCGATGATTTCTTCGTCTTCGTATACCCTATAGGCAGGTAGCTCATTATTTATGATACGGCAGAAAGTACAGTTTGAATCTGTGTCCGGCGTCCAGGCGGGTGCTTGAGGGCGATTCAGGTGGTCTTTGATAATGAAGGAGGTCATGAAGAACGACCCCGGAGAAGAGCGCTTGGCATTTTCCGAGCGGTATTGCCATTTTTGGGCTTGTCTCCGTCCGTCAACTTTCTCTCCTTTTGCATACTTCAGCTTCGCGTCTACGCAATGTCTCGAGGCGATCGCGTAACTGCTGCAGGGAATATCTCACATTCCATGCGCGAAAACTACCAGCAGGGTGTTTCTGAGGTCAGACATTGCACGCCCGAGTTATCTCGCTACTAATATTTCCATTTCATCAGTATTACACAAAAGTCGGCTCCATTTATCGCAACCCACACTTTCCAGGAGTGAGACGTTGTGTATTCCAATGGTTAAACAAGTTGGGTCCGGATAAATGTCGATTGCACCGCGTTTTCATAGACGTTTACATCTAGATGGTGGGAGATGGAATCGTTGGCTGACCCCAGCAGGCGAGACCGAATAACTATGTTTGACATGGCCTGCGGTGCGTTCCTACTCTCATAAAGCCATATGCATGCCTTTCTTAATGTACATCAGGCAGGTCGGTAGTATCTGCACTTTCGATCCAATCACCAATGTAAAAACCCCACAGCGGAGAGGCTACCATCGCTTTTCAAGAGTGGTGGCAGCTTGGGCGGAAACTATACGACTCGCGTGCAGAAGCTTTGCCAAATCAACAGCTTACGACAAGGCCGCCACAAAAAAAGCCTCAGGTCACCCCAATACCCATCGCTCCTCAGCTTGGCCTACCCAGGATACTTGCTGCTGACCCTGTTCGTATCTCTACAACTGAAAAAGAACTCTTACTTACTTTCGATGATGCCAGTTTACTTCAGTCGCGTATCAAGACCGTACTTCTATGCCCTGTTCTTCCCTTTCCTTCAAGGACATTGCGGAAGGCGCGCTACCGCCTCTATCCACAGATACGCCGACAACCGATTCACCGACTGCGACTTATCCTATCGTCGACCTCATAATCTGCTCATTTGCCCTTCATCTCGTCGAAAGCCCCTCCGAACTTTTCTCCCTTTTGTGGGAATTGAGCTCCAAGGCTCGGTGGTTAGTGATATTGGCACCGCACAAGAAACCTGAGGTACACTCCTCTCCTTTTTTTCAATTGAAGGATGGTATCTCACATCTCTCAGATAAAGGACGGCTGGGGTTGGAGCAAGTGGAATGTCGATACTTGGGAATCGACCCGGATGGTTGACAATGTCCCCGAAATCCTCAATGACAGGTGTGTCTAAAGTGGACTTTTCTTCCTGAATAATCCTGACAAGTTATTCAGGGTGCATTGTCGTGTATACCGCAGCCTCAATGCGTGATTGAGGAAAGATGAGATTTGCATCAAGTACATCGATAGATATTTTGACTTGCGCCACTTTCGGTTTTTACGTTTTTTATGAACGGCTAATCAATAAGGAACCAATTACTCCTACTACAAACGCACCAGTGGCTGCGGCTGCCAGCTCAACAGTGCCTCGTGTAACATGGAAGGTCGAGACCACCTGGTCAGCCCGAACCTCTTCAGACTGATCCACCTTGGCTACCACCACAACTTGTTTGGCCTCCTCAATAGATTTTGGGGCCACGAGACTCTGTGAAATATCCCTGAGATGGAGTATGAGTCGCTCCTGATCTGCAAGCTGCCCCCCGATCTCAGCCATAGTGGCGCTGAGTTTCGCTTCATTATCTCGACTGAGTTCCTCAATCTTCTTCTCAAACGTCTGCGCAAGCCTCCGCCGTTTCCACGGCTCTACCACGAGAATAGCCATGACGAAGACGAGCATGTTGAGTCCGAGCGCTGCAAGCGACCCGTACGTCGACGCGCTCCGGATCTTGTCGGACCACACCTGCTCCTCGTGGTATCGCGCAAGAATCGCACGCATGAGTTCGCTGAATTCCTTCTCCACAGCATCCTCCATTTCATTCACAGCGGCCTTTGCGCGGGCCTCCTCCTGCTCGTAGAGGTGGTCCTGCCGTACGATCGTTGTGAACCGGCTCACGTCGCTGTCCGTCCATTGAGATTTACGCTCCAGGAGGTCATTGACTTCGTGTTGCGATTTCGCGCGCTGGGCCACGGCCTCGTCGTGCGTCTTTTTTGCTTGGCGTGTGGCCTGCCGCGTAGCGTTTATCCGTGCCTCTGTAAGCGTAGGTCAATCCACGGTCCGTAAGTAGACACTACGAGATATGCGGTAACGACACACACCTTGTTCTACAACTTCCCGTTTCAACGCATCGATGACCTCGTAGCCAGTAACCCTGTTAAGCTCCGAGCCGAGCTGAGAGAAGGTCACTTTCGACCGTGCAGTAAAATCGTCTGCTCGCGTACGAAATAACACCGCTGCCTGGTGCCTCCAACTCCGAAGGCGTTGTTTCAATTCTTCCAAGTCAATTTGAGAGAGCGGCAAGGGTTGCTTTTCTAATGGTTTCTCTATTGGCTTTTGTTCGAAGTCAAGCGAGGGAGGTTTCGATGACGAGGACACGGGTTCCGGGACATATTGTGAGAGCGGCGAGGGTTGCTTTTCTAATGGTTTCTCTGTTGGCTTTGGTACAAAGTCAAGCGAGGGAGCTTTCGATGATGAAGAGGCGGTTTCTGGATCACTTAAACAGGAAATTAAGGGATGTATTTACCAGTAGAGCGCCAGCGACGTGAATCGACAAGGCACCGAGTACAGAAAAAAAAAGGGAAACAAGAATCATTACAATGGAGCTCTAGCTCCAGACGTCCAGCATAAGTCGTGACCGTTCCTTGAGTAGCTTAACCTCCGCAACACCCTCCACTGCTGCTGATCCACCCTTCGCCTCGCCGAGAATCCGCGCGAGCACGTCCTCGACCTGCTTGCTCATGTTCTTGGCCTCGCCGCAGATGTACACGTAGCCCTTGCCCTGGAGGATGGCATCCGCAACGTGCTCCCTGTCGTTCCACAACAGGTCCTGCACGTAAATCTTGCTTCCGTCCGGTTTGTAGTTCTCGCGCGAGAAAGCGCAGTGCATTGTGAATTTGTCCTTGAGCTCCTCAGCATATTTCGGCCACTCCTCGGCGTAGAGGAAGTCCTCAGTCGATTTGCGGCAGCCGTAGAAGAGTGATATGCGGCCCCAGTCAGCGAGGGCGTCCGGTCCGTTCTTTTCAATCGAGCGACGGGCAAGAGCAACGCGTTCCTGGATGAATCCACGGAAGGGGGCAACACCCTGGAAGAAGATAATCACTCAGAAAAAAGTCATCGCGGTCATAAAACAGGATTGCTTACAGTTCCAGGACCAATCATGATGACGGGGCTCTTGGGGTTGGTCGGGAGACGGAATGTCGAGCGCCTGACGTGGATGGGGGCCTTGTACACAGTGCCATCCTTATAAGCACTTCGGGGTCCTTCGATTTGGTATGACGGGACCAAGACACTGGCGTCGTTTCCGGTCGCAATCAGAGGAGGGGTCTCGCCGTTTGAAGCGTAGCGCAGGTTAAGCAGGAAGTTGGAGCCGACACCATAGACCCACTTCTGGTTAACATGTGCACTGGGAACATTTTCGTATTTGAGGACGACAACAGTAACATGAATAGAGTGGGGGTAAAGTTTTGGGCTGGACGAGATAGAGTAGTACCGGGGCTGCAGGCGGGGAATAGAAGAGACGATGATATCGAAGGGAATGGGCCATGCAGCGGTATTTGCGGTGGTCGGGTGAATCGTGGAGTCGTTTCCAGCGGCGAGCTGGAGGACTTCCCCAAGCTTGAGACAGCCGAGAGCGACAACGGTATGGTATTCTTCCTTGTTGGTGTTCAGGTTCTTCATGAATTCCTCCGCCTGGGGGTTGGGGGCAAACTTGGAAAGTGCTCCAAGAATCTGACGACCTGCGACAGCGCTGATATCGATATAATGGCGGAGGACGGTGGCGTAAGTTGTCGGGACGGGGAAGGGAACCTTGGCAAGGGCAGGGTCCAGAGATTCAATTCCAATAACGTTATCCTTCTTGTCCATGAGGCCGAGGGTGCACAGGAGACGGTCAACCTCGACGTCGGGGTTGGACGGCCAAACGCCGACATGATCGCCGTGCTGGTATGTGATGCCTGATCCTTCCGTGTTGAGTTCGATGTGTGCGCAGTTGCGAGCAGTAGGATCCTGGAACAGTTCCTTCGACTCGCCAATCGGGGCAGGGTAAGGGTTCTTGGCA